TGATTACAACAGCGCTAATTTCTACGCATAATGACAATTACACGATATGACCACGTAACGAAGTGATCTACTCGTACAGCGCAGAGGAACTTATAGTACTGTTGAAGATTAAAAAACGAGATCAGCTTTTTTAGACAAACTGACTGCATATGAATTTTTCAACTCAGTGTGCCGAGATGACAAACGGAAGAAATGGACCAGGAAACTATTCTGCAACCTTGATGAACAAGATTTTGGCCCAAAGTCAGGTCAGGCTATTATCGCATCAAGTCATCACTGTGTCGGATCTTTCGCTGAGCCACAAATCTCTGGCACTCTATTCAGCAATTCAGTTACTGGTTCGACAATATGAAGATCTGCTCATGATAAAAAAAACGCTATCTGATTTCGTTGTTGATTCCCTGACGATCGCTCGTCAGTCCAACTGTAGCAATGCTGTCCGTAGCTTTAGTTTCATTCCTAATCTTGCTTATTTTCCTCATTTACTCTTAATGACATTATTTCATCATCGTCAATATTTCTTTAAAATTGTCAACAAGATTCTCTAGCGATCCTTTACCCTTTGTTCAAGGGGTATATTTGCACTATGAGACGAAGGTAAATCCGTGTCAAACATTGTAGCAAAAGTTCTGTAAAGTTGAAAATGCAAAGCAAGCAACGGGTGTTCTGCGAGTGGCTGAAAGTCATGATCACAAAAAACCTATACAGACTTACATCAATAAAAAAAATCACTGACCTTTAGCAGTTTTCATTTTTTTCTTCGGGAATACATTTTTGCTGTTACGAGTTGGATATGTGGAATCAGAAGCGACATTTTTCTTACCAAAGAATGAACTATAAAATAAAAAACATAATCAATACGGTTTCCGCAACGCAGCATCATGTATGTTTGAAATAACATTAGAGATAGGAAAAAGAATGAATGGCTAAGAGCATATACAAGAGTCGGCAACGTCATCGCCGTGAAAAAGTTGAAGTGTCGATCGGCAGGACACGCTGCAAAAAAGTACTGACCATCGCTGAACCACAGAAACTTTAGAACGGGTTCCAAGAGAAAGCAAACGGCTCGTAGGAAGACCTCCAGATCGGTGGTAGGATGAGCTAAAGAAGGTGCTTGATCACGATGGAAGAAAATAGCAAATAACGGAAGTTTATGCAGTTTTGGAGAGGCCTTCATCCAGCAGTATATCGACAAAGGTTGATGGTGATGACGAAAGCTTAAAGATCGAAAGTATCACAAAGCAGGGAAAAATTAGAATACCCATAGGACTTCATAACTTACCGCTTTAATGCAACAACAAGCATTTGCTGCAAACAGTTCCCATGAACGCGAGATACTGCAGATATGGTTCATACACAAATTTTTAAGTTAATCAACTTTGGTCTAAGTTAAGACGGCTTCTCTTTAGTTATAAACGACTGTTAGCTACACTTGACTGTTAAACATTCTTAAACGGCTATTTCTGAAAAGTTTTCTAAACACACATTACACTCGCAATTTACTGGCACAGAAATCAAGTGCTGCGCCAAGGCATGGAGATTTTGAGATGAGAGTTAGCACACATACGAATTTGCAGACCCGATTTAAATGTTCTGCTGACCAGAAAAAGCCTATGACCGGATCCAGCGCAACAAGCTGTTGGCGTGCCTCCAAACATATGGGATCGATGGCCAGTTGCTACGAGCCAGCCGGTCGCCATATGATCATATAAGGTACTGCGTCAGAGCAAATTGCGTTAAATAGAGGAATTCGTTTCCTCCAATAATGGGTTCTGTCGCCTCTCATGCTTGTGTTGCACCTGGATAGAACAGCCAATGCATAACTAGGACAATTAGTGCATCAACGTAAGACATGTCGAGACGATAAGGTTTCTTCTTGCAGACGATCTTGCTTAGCTGACATTTCCTGAAACTCCCCAGTGTTCTTTGGAAATGTCTGGCCGGCATGGGTACTCTTTCTAGAAGGAAGAACTTTGTGCTTTCTGGTTTGCCTTCTCGTTGTGCTATGCAGATTAAGAAGTTCACTTACCTCGAGATGGTGTTTAGGGGTGATGGAAAATGTGAGAATGAGATCGACCAGCGAATTGAAATGGCCAGCGACGTCCTGCGTGAGCTACCCGGAACCGTTGTGACTAAAGCAGAGGTGAGCTTAAAGATTAAGCTTTATGCCCTTAATTCTATCTTTATCCCAATGCTTCATCTACGGTCATAAGTCGCAGGCCATGACTGAAGAACTTTCGCTTCCGGGTACAAGCAACTGAAATGGGCTTTCTGAGAAGAATCGCTGGGCTCGCGCATCTCGACATGGTCCGAAGTACAGAAACCTGACAGAGCCTATGTGTATAATCGCTGCTTCTGCATACTGAGAAATGAACGTTGCGATGGTTTGAGCACTTCTTGCGAATGCTTACAGAAACAAGGCTAAATAGTTCTTGGTCGACCTACCGGTCAAAGACTCATCGGAAGGCCAAGAATGAACTAACAAGTGCC